GAAGTTAAATGATGTCAACTTGTAAAATGGGGAAAACTGTTTAATGACAATCTCGAAAAAGGCTACGAATATGGATAGTATTTAAATACAGCCACATCAGCTCTATGACGGACTTTGACTTAACATTCACAACAGCAATCACATAATAAATATATTAGAATCCATAACATAAATGTGGTCGACAATTATATATGAAGACACTATGATACTATTGTTATATGCAATACATTATAATGATAAAATATTCTTATTATAAAAGTGACAGATTCGATTCTTAAATGAAGATTTACATATAGGCAAAATAGTCGTTTGAGAAGAGATGTGAAAAGTCTAATTTCTTATTAAGTTGCTTTATTCTATTCAGATCCTATTGAAAATTCTAGAAATTAGGTCAGCTCAAATTCTTGCTGCTATATTGTTTTTTGTTGTACATAAAACTTTGTATAAGCGGAGGCATTGACTGCACTGCCACTAAGCGTAATATTGCTATTGTTAATGCCATTGCTGGTGTCAGTAGTTCTTTTGTCCCTTCTTGCAAAGCGTCGCGGTCTGGCCAATTTAATTGTCACATTGGTGAGAACAGCCATGCATCAGATGTCCATGTCTAGTTAGTCACCTTAGGGCAACAATTTGCCTGCCTGACAGCCGACAGTTGATTTTACTCGGCACTACACCCCACATGTGTACTGTACACACGGACGCCACACAACGGTCTTGGTGCAACTTGCTGACACTCTTTGGTTCAATGCGCTCGGTTGCACGAACAGCAGCAACAACAATAAGCAGCCAAGCACTTAAGCCGTACTTTGCCGTCATCCACATCCTTGTCATCGTCTGTCAAAGGCAAAAAGATTCTTCAGCTGCTTGCCGCTTGCTGTTGTTAGAGTGGTGCCTAGCTTGCAAAATGTTATTTTGTGCGCTAAAAAGGTGAGATAGATATAGGGAAGGTGCTGAGATTAGGGTATCTATGTACGTGTCTTTGTGTTTGTAAGTGTGTGTGTGCACATCCATGAGTGCACTTTGCAAATAGCAAATGCATTTTTCACCCACATGAATAACAATCGTAAGCCAAACCAATGGTCCGTCTCTCTCTCTCTCTCTCTCTCTCTCTCTCTCTCTCTCTCTCTCTCTCTCTCTCTCTCTCTCTCTCTCTCTCTCTCTCGCTGCCTCTCTTTCACTCTCTGTGTCTGTCTCACCTTCACTTCGCGTCAACCTTGTCTATCATATGTGAGATGTCATATGTGTGTGCTACCGCTTTTGGGCAACTAGAGCTGCAACTTGCTAACCTTTCGGCAACTTAATTGGCAGCAGCAACTGTTGCTAGTGCAACACCCGCCTAGCAATTTGCACCTTGTTAACAAACGCAATTTGGTATTTTTTGTTTTCTCAGTTGCCATACACATTTGCGTAGTGTTGATGTTGCGGTTGCTGTTCTGATTGTTGGGTGGGCGGCATCAGCATTGTTCAGCAATCAAATCTTTGCATAATGCAATTAAATATTTATGCGGGAAATTTGCACTTGCTAAACATGAAAATAGTGTTGAGATTGTTTGTGGCTAAGGAAAAAACCCAATACTGACCCGCACAACAATGCGTAAGCGAGCCAAATCCGATTTGGTCTCAATTAGTGGTTCAAAGAACACTACGGAATTAAAAATAAAATGGCCTTAAAACATCCACAGACTGACTAAACGCACAGACATCAAAGCTGATGGCGCTCGGTGAGGGGCCACAGCAGGTGGAGGCAGGAGAAGAGTGTTTATTCAATTGAGAAAGTAAACAAAAGTCGGTTATTAAAATGGAAATGAAAATGAAGATGCAACCAGTGCAACACTTGAAAATTGAGCAAAAAAGACGAAACGAGTGAATATCGAATCGAGATGAGATATACAAGAGATATAGATATAGTTTGTTTATTTCTGTTAGCCGTAACAAAATACCAAACGTAACTTATCAAATACGTTTACTTATTGTCCTTTTTTTAATTTAACAACTTACGCATTAAGCGTTTATTCAATATATTAACGCTAGTAATTATCATGCCTCTGGATCCTTCAGTCTGAATTTATAAGTTTTTGTAATTCATTAATTAAATTAACATTAATTTATAATTGATTGATTATCGCATATCATATCTCTCTACCTCTGTCTCTTTTAATCTCCTTCTCTTTTTCTATCTCTCTTAATATCTCTCTTTATCGCATTGTCGCCTGAAACCGTACAATTTAATTTCCATTACTTCGGGTCTGTCGTTCAAATTCTTTGATCTGCTTTAAAAAACCACAAGAAGAAGTCGTTGCTATTTAAAAAAAATCTGTCAAATAACTGCTTGCCCCCCTCAACCCCCTCCCTTTCCCTCTGCTGAATGTAGCAATGATTCGACTGGACATACAAACAAACAACGAAAATTGAGCAATAACTTTGCTGCTCCATTCGATGCCTAGCGGCAAATGCGAATGTAAATACTGAAGTATCTTGCGCAAATCTTTTCATTTCCCAATACCCCCAACCCCCTGCGCTGAGGCTCTGTTAGAGTCCCTTACCCCATACACCTCCACATATTAATTTCCCCAAAACGACACAGACACGTGCAAGAGCTGCGCGTTTCGTGCGCATTTTTAAACGCCACCTTATTTGGTTGATTCAGTTTGGCGAATTGACATTTGTGCGTCACTAAGATTGAACCAAACAATGCCTTGTATGTATGTACAATAAGACATATAGATGGCTGATGGTTTGCGAATCTGAATCTCGTTTGGATCTATCGCAGTCGCTGCCAAAGCTGACCATTTTAAAATCCACTCGATAGTGAAATTCACACTCGACCAAAGCGACACGAGCACAGTGGAAACAGTTATATATATATATGAATGAAATGCGTTAAATCTTTAAACATATTCTGATAAAGTATATAGGACAGGATATATATATATATATATATATATATATACATATATATATATATATAATAATTTTTTTTTCAATCTGCTATTTGAGGAAAAACATTTGAAACACATATATATAAATTTATACATGCAATTTTTAGAAGCTTTATTAAGTATGAATTTTTTCGTTAGTATTTTTGTTTTTTTTTTTTTGAATCCCCACAGTGCAAAGATTGTCTCGCTGTATCGATTTAATGAACCATTAAAAAAGGGCAGCACGCGTAGGAGTGGCCGGCGAAAGAGCACAACAACAGCAACGAACGGTGACCAACCATGAACTCAGACACACACACTGAGAGATCTATGCATTTAGAGTAAGCCCGTTAGCCAGAAAGCTCGCCCTGTGACAAGGCTTTTGGGCTGACCTTTAAAAGTTCACTAACCAGCTACTGCTGCTCAGAATTGATGCACGCCCACACCCTCACCATCGCATCCTCTGGCTACATATCCAGTTAACTGCCTTAGCTGCGTCATCAACAGAAACAAAAGTCGTGCCAACTGCCTTACGCAGCAGCGAGTAATAACAATAAACGTTGTGGACCGATCAGCAACAGCAACAACAAAACAAACGAAGAACAACACTGAAGACCTTGCCTTAGTTGCAATACTCCAAAAAATGTTATAATTAAATTAAAAACCAGCAACATCAGCAACAGAACTGTGAGTGCACCTGCAACCTGTACGAAATGCTGACAGGGCTTGGCAACATGCTGCCAAGGTCAGACGCAAATGTTGCTGGTGCTAATTGAATAGTTCTGAACAAATGCCGAATGATGTAGCCTGCAATCTGCTAGATAGCCTGTTTTGTATGGTATGTATGGTCTGCGTCTTCATTGCGGGACAAGTACGAAATATTTAAGTTTAATGGCCATAAGCCAGACAGCCGCAAGTTTTCCTCAAGCGACGCGACACATTTGACAATTTGTAAATGTTGCTGCAAAAGCTACTGCTTGCACACTGCAAATTTTAACTAACTGCAAGGCGTCGCATCGGCCGTTGGATGTCATCAATGGGGGTGGCGGAGAGGCACGCAACAATTAGAAACCAGTCCGTATGAAGGCGACGACAGCCTGACTCTTGCATATATCGTTCATTATGGCATACCATAAAAATAGCTAGACATAGCACACATTCGCTTTGCTTTTGTATAGCGTTTGAAATTCTGTTTATGAAAACCAATATGACTTTGATTTATTTGCAAGTGATTTTCTATATTGAAAATATGATCCTCCTGAGACTAGTTTCTGCTGCTAAATTTGGGTTTCAATAGAATTACAGCTGAAAGTAATTGATAATTGGAAAAATACAAGAACAATACAAGAACCTACTGTCTCGCGCTGAAAGAACTCTAATAGTATTTTATCAAATAATAATAATAATTTGCAATTTTCGAAAAGTATAATTTGTTTATTTATCTGTACATTTTTTGGATGACAGGGTATGCAAATGTTGTTGTGTTTGAGCACTAGGCTCCTTTTCGTTACTTAATCTAGTTAGAAGAGATGTCGTCTGGATGCTAGCGTAATGCGTCTTCAGCTTGTGGCGCTGCCTGTCGCAGCTCCTGAGGTGCAGCTGGTGTCTACATCTGGCCAACTACTTACTAACTTATTTGGTATGCTAGATTTGTCGCTTTTGTTGTGCTTGCCAATGTTGTTGTTGCTGTTGTTTGTGGTTGCCGGAAGCGCAATTGCTTCGTTATGGCACGTACTTTGTCAAAGGCGTTTCGACGAAGCGACTTTGACGTCCGAAACAGTCCCGCTTCGCCCTACGATGCCCCGTCTTTAAAACCCGTCCCGTTGCATCGCCAGACGCGAGAGTCTTATTATGTCTTACCATTCCATTCTTCGATACGTCGTTGAGTCACGTTGGATGTGTCTCGTAGCTGTTGATGTCGCTGGCCGACAATTGGGCAATCTTTATGAATGAAACTAAAGACGCATGTGGGCCGCCCAGTTGCCAATTTTGCCAATTGCAGCTGGTCCAGTTTGCCAGCCAAAATTAATCCGTTGTCATTTTACATGTGATTGATTTTTTTCTCATTCTTTTCTATTGCAGAGGCAAATTTGCGGCTGTTCGCCGGGCAATACACAAGAATACCGGTTTGCATTTCGCTGCCAAATTCCTGAAGCGACGCCGACGCGCACAAAGCAGCGACAAGGAGATCAAACACGAGATTGCCGTCCTAATGCTATGCGAGGGCGAGGACAACATTGTCAATCTTAATGCTGTGCACGAGTCACGCTCCGATACGGCGCTGCTGCTGGAGCTGTAAGTATAGATTGTATATCTTCTATCATAAGTATGATAAGTGGGTTACATCATAATCATACATTATATTACATCAGATGATCTAGAATCTAGGTAGTCCAGAGTTTGGCAATGGATTCTATAAAATTTAGTAGTCGGGGTTCCTCATCTATTCGTCTCCAAATTTCTCAAAAACTGATTGACAATAATACGCAGCTTAACCCCTATAAGCAAGGTGAATACATTTTAAACAGTGGTTTCTTCTTCTTTCTATCTGATCGGTCTTAAACGTATTTTTAAAGATTAACTATTCAAAAATTCATTTTCGCGGCTTAGATCACATTCCGTCCACCAACAAATTAAATGCACTGTTATGATGTTCATTACATTTTTGGAAAAACAATACTATTGAAATTGAATAAGTATATGATATCGCCTTATAGATAGTGCTTTGTCATTTTTGGAAATCAAATTGAAAGAGTCCAGCTTAATTTTCTGTTTCTTGTTTGCTAGGGCCACTGGCGGTGAGCTGCAAACGATACTGGACAACGAGGAGTGCCTCAGCGAGGCGCAGGCTCGCCATTGCATGCGGGAAGTGCTCAAGGCTCTTAAATTCTTGCACGATCGTTCTATTGCCCATTTGGATCTAAAGCCTCAAAACATTTTGCTAGCTGGCGAACGCATTGAGGGTAAGTTTGAACAGTGCATAAGCAAAATGCACAATAAATTCCATGACTCTCTTCTTTATTGCAGATGGCCTCAAGCTGTGTGACTTTGGCATCTCGCGTGTCGTTTGTGAGGGAATCAATGTGCGCGAAATGGCCGGCACTCCGGACTATGTGGCACCGGAGGTGCTGCAATATGAACCACTGTCCCTGCTTACGGACATTTGGTCGGTAGGCGTGCTGGCCTATGTGCTGCTCTCGGGTTTTTCACCCTTTGGCGGCGATACGAAACAGGAGACCTTCCTCAATATATCACAGTGCGCTCTCACCTTTCCCGACAATCTCTTTGGAGGCGTCTCTCAGGCGGCAATTGATTTCATACGTCGCGCATTGCGAATTAAGCCAAAGTAAGTTTCAAGCCGAAATAGCTCTCACTCTAACTACAACATGTCTCTTTCTCTCTCTCTCTCTCTCTCTCTGTCTGGGCTTTAGCGATCGCATGAATGCAGCCGGCTGTCTGGAGCATGTCTGGCTAAAGGATGAGTGCGCCTTGGATAGACAAATTTATTTACAGGCCCAGCATGATGCTGACTTTGTGCATGATGATGATGATGAAGACGATGATGAGGATGTGCATGTGGAGGATGGGGATGAGGAGGTGCATGAGGAAGTTCCGAATATTTCACAGCAGCAGAAACAACAACATAAAAGCACATCAACCGCATCAATAACAACAGCAACAACAACAGCTCCACCCAATAAATCCACGCACAATGGTCATCGAGCACACTCTAGCTCCAAAATACCAATTGCGACTAGCCACTGCAAGCTATGTCCGAGCACAGAGACAACAACAGCCATACATACACTGCCCCAAACGCTGAGCATGTCGCTCGCAACGACGCCGTCCCCGAAGCCCACGCAGATTGTGACGCCAACGCGACGTGCCTCTGATTCAGATAAGGAGAACACATATACGGCGACATTTGTGAAGAAGCCCGCGGCCAGCACGGCAACCATACAAATTGGCAGTAATGGTCTCGAGGATGCTACGGTTATTGCCACATTGACACTATTTCCGGATGCGCCCACCACGCCCAAAGTCATACGCAAGACTCCCGCAGCAGAGTCGAGTTCGGCCACATCGGTAAAAGCGCTCGTCAAGAAGTTCCAGCTGGAAGAGCTCGAGGCGCACAGTTCACCTAATGGATCGAACTCTAATATAGTGCACGCATCAGCCAATACGCAACAATTGCAGATGCAGCAGCAGCGCAAAGCAACAACCGGCAGCAACAGCAATAGCAGCAACATGCGTCGCAGCATCAGCGGCACTTGCAACAACAGCAGCAGCAGCGGTAGCTGCAACAGTGGACGTCGCGCCTCAGAACCGGTAACCGCTGTGCATAAGAAGCAGAACACCGCCAACATCAGCTCAAACTCCATTTCCAGCAACAGCAACAACAGCAGCAACAACAACAGCAACAGCTCTGGATCGAGCACCAATGCAGCCGCTGGCAGCAGCAACTGCAGCAGTAGCGGGAGCAGCACAGCACTTCTGCTAAATGGGCGATTGCCGGCATCGGCACATCATTTGCATCATCATCATATGCACCATCATCACCACCATCATCATCATCATGTCGTGAAGAATACGACTGCTGCTGCCACCAACAACTTGAGCTTGGACCAGGGCATCATCTGTTAGCTAAGGGCCAACCGTGTGCGCCGCAATGCCAAAAGTTTCTTTCACCGCTTCCTTTGCTGCATGTAACAGTGCCTTAACGTGTAGGCGTGGTCAGCGCCCTAGCTGGTCTACTAGGGCAACTAGTGGCTGCAACTGCAGCAGCTGCTAAGGGCTGCAATGCCAACGCCTGCACATATCGGGGAAGTTTTGTTTGATTTTGAGTTTCTTAGTTAATGTTATTAGCAACTAGTTGATATGAACACCACTGTACCACACACTCTACCACTAAACCAGCCGATTACCCCAAGTAACGTATATAAACTGTTTAAGATTATCTACATGCATACAAACACATACGCATATGTGAGTGCTTATATATATATGATGGATAGATATCGAGTATTTTGAAATAGTTGCCGTTCTAATTGGATGACGGTGAACTGTTAAATTAATGATGATTCAGGTGTGGGCGAAAGAGCTAGAAAGAATGAACGAATGAGATAGAGATAGAGACAGAGAGAAAGAGCGAGAGTCAGAGAGAGTGTGCGTGTGTGTGTATTTGTTTATAAAGAGAAAGAGCGAGTATGTATAGTTAGCAATATGATGCAAGGGCAAAGATTACAACCTATTGCTCAAGTTGCAAGTAATTTAACAAAACAAAAGAAAGGATGAAGATTTGAGACATATCAGTGCGTCGTTGTGTCTGTGTATGTGTGTGTGTAAATTTGTTTATCGAAATCAATAGGAAAAGTTGTTCGTGTCTCAACGAATTCAAATATGTCAATTCTGAACAGCAAATATAAAAAGTTTGCATAGCATAAATAAAATTAAACGAATTATACAACCTAATAATACACCTTTACAAAACAAATTTTAAAAATAGATATCAAGTCAAAGGGAATTAATCAATGCATTGTAAATTGGATCTAAATGTCTTGATTTTTTTTTCAGTAGAAATCATATTTACATAATGTTGAGCGCCATTTGGTAATTGTGTGTTACATATTTCTAGACATATGCACCTATAACATAATACATATATACACTTATTACAAAAAGAGTATGTAGTCGCAGTTGTTCATATTGGTAGTGCAAAAAAATTAAAATAAATATGCAAATTGATTGTTCAAGAGTTACGCATAAATACATACATACATATAGAGAATGTTATCAGAAATGAAAAAAAAAAAACGAAAAAATAAGGAAATTAATTAAATTGTTAATATTGTGTGTTTATTACATAAATTACATATTATATACAAAATATTTTCAGTTTTGCCCATGTCTTCTTTATTGTTTTACCATCTACATTCCTCCCCCACTCACTTCCCTCTCTCATGCTCGTTAATTTTTCCCTGCCATCCTCCCAGTCCTCCCAATCGGAATATACTTACCTTATTTTTAATTGTAAACCTTGAAGCCAATTGGTTTATGTACATAAATATTTCAGCGCTCAGACCCTAGGCAGTAACTTGGCGCGGTAAATCATTTTTTCAAATTATTTTTGCATAGAATAAGTACTTATCCATCAATTGGAGCAAATGTAGAGAATCCATTGTATTTATTAGGCAAAGTTTTTTTGTATGGTCGAGAATGATCAGTTAATTGTTACAGAGTATAATTAATTAATAATGACTATGAGTAATTGCGCGCGCTTTTACCACTGAATAATTGCGTGAACATAATTCTCTTATTTAATAACCTTAACCACTTAATTTTTTTTTCTTCACTTACTGTATATTAGTAGCTAAATGCAAGAGTGCAGCAAAAATTATAAGAGACAAAAAAACAAAAATGTGAAATAATTTTAATTTACTTTTTGTGTTAGGAGAAAAGAAAATTTTGAAGATAAAGAAACAAAGAAGAAAATTCTATATTACATTATAAAGTATTGTAATTATTTTATAGATAACTAATTTTAAATATATTCAATAAAATTAAAAAAAATTTATATCAATTGTTTTAATGCATCGAATCAAAACTTTATTTGGAATACAATTGTCTGAGGCGATTATTCCAGCATGTACGGCTGTATCTGATAGTCTGAGTAGACGCCGGTAAATTTAATGACCCAGCCGATACCATCATAGTTGACCGACTTGTGGAATTCCACATAAAGTTGGCTGCGCTGACTCAAGTAGATGCGAGGCTTATCCTCGCCGCAGAAGCGACGCCTTTCTTGCATCGCGCCATCATCGCGCTTCTCCTGAATCAGCAGGTAATCCGTGTGACAGGTGGCTTTCGAGCCCAGATCGAAAACTGCAAAAATATATTTGTGAAAAAAAATATATATATGAGTCGATTTGTTAAGCTCACATTCAATGTTGAGCAGAACATGGGTGTTGCTTGGTACACGGACGCTCCAGCGGCAAACGGAGTTATTGCGCACGTTCTGCGGATAGAAAGGATTTGAGAAGATACCCTCGGTGTTGTACAGCTGCCCACCGCAGCCGGGACCATTCTCGATGGGCGTGGCAATGTACGTCATGTCAAAGTTGTTTAAAATGCTGCCAGTCTTAAAGTGCAACCGCAGCTGATTGGTTGTGGTGAAGATGCTCTTGCCCGCGTTCAAATAGGCGCATGTACGTTGCAGCGATTTATTGTTGGCCATATCGAAAACCTCCACGTACTCCACATCACAATCGGATGAGCCAAAAATCACCTCGGCATAATAGATGCTAAGCGTGTGGTTTACTGGCGCCACAATCGTCGCATCGCAATCGATTGTTTCAGATATCTTGATGCGACCCTGGTAGCCACCGTAGGTATACTGGCAGCTCAAATCTGGCACCACGCGGATGTGAAAGCCGGTCCTTGTCACGGCTTCATTAGTGCGGAACTTAATATACACGTTTTTCGAGTTGGGATAGTAATCATCTGGCAAGGAGTTGCCACAATAAACGTGCTCCGTAGCATAGTCGAGGAAGGAGTGAGTGTTCTTTTGCCCGTTAAAGATCACCGCGCTCCCATAACCGTGCTCCACCACCTGCGCATCCTGTATACACAATAAACCAATTACAGAATCAGCAGACCAAATTTATATTAAAAAATGAAGTCATACAGCTGTCGGAAACGAGTCCCTTTTGGTTGAATACGCATAGTTCTTACCTCACTGTTGTAGATTTTAATATAGTCTGAATCACAGCTGTCTGTCGCATTGGTCGCCTCGAGATCGAGACTAATGAACTTCAGATGTATTGATATTTCGCTGACAATCTTCCAGAGGCAGAAGACATTGTTGTCGTACTTTCCCTGATCGTTGATGGGCGAGTGTATCTCGTAAGGCTGTTTGCCGTCTAGTTTGATAAGGGGATTGCCGCACTGGAGCGGCCGGGCGGTGACAACTATCTCGAAACCGGTGTCACTAATCTGATTATCACTGACAAAGCGCATGAAGAGGGTTTTTCTCGATGAGCTTAGATTGGGTGGCAGATCCTGGCCACAGAAGCGACCAATCTCATCGGCGAAGGGTCCAGCGCCGTCGCGCAACTCCAAAAAGTCTGCCTTGCAGCCGATGGATGCCTCTACGTGGAAACTACGGAACTCGACGCTTATCTGAAAACCATTTTCCGCATGGAACACAAAACTGCAGTCGAGATTGTTCGCATAGGTGCCAATAAACTTATTGAACGTATAACTGGAATTGTGCTCGCCCAGAAAGATGCGCTCATCACAGTTGGGCAAGACGCGCACCAGCGCCCGGAATCCCCTCGAAGGATCCCGTTCATCTGAGTAGCTGTGGATTAGCGCTCGATTGCCAGATATATGCAATGTGGGCAAATCATCTGTCACGTGTCCACAGTAGCGCACCATACGTCTCTTTTCATCAGGCACCGGACTATCGAAGACCTCGACACCATCGTAGCTACACAGGAAATTACCAGCCTCAAAGTCCAGCAACTCAAACTTGACAGTGAACTTATGTCCCTCTGGCGCCGTGAGATTCCAATAACAGTCACTATTTGGCGGCATCTGATTATCCTGATGCTGACGCGGCGACTCTACAGGTTGTGATGTGCTAATAACACCACCGCACAAACTGGTGCTGTATTCTAGCTGAAAGCCACGGCCGAAAAATGTGTTATCTGAGCGTAACAGGAGGCTGATGGAGCGCTGGGCGCGATAGGCATGTCGCTGTTTAACGCCACAGATCACCGACTCCTGCATCGAATCTCCCTTGTCCCTGGTGGTGACTGTGACATTGTCGTACATGCAACTATTGGGTGGCGAAGGCTCCAGATTGAATTCCAGGAAGCTTACCAGTACGCCCGGCGCTCGTTCATCAAGCGGACTAAATGTGTAATTGCAATAGATATTCTTGCCATACCCCTTCGGATAGCCCGGACTGCTTAGCAGCTGTGGTTCAGCAGTGGCGTACAGTAGGCCGCCACAGTTGCGATCAAAGCGAGCGGTGAAACCATCGCCAGTGATGTCGCTATTAGAGCGAAAGATGAGACGCATCTCCGCGCTGGTCGAGTTAATGTTATCCGGCGGACTGCGTCCGCAAAGCGTCTGCAAATCGATCCAGCTGTCATCGGTGCTGTTGCGCTGCTGCACACGCAGATAATCCTTGTCGCAGCCATGGCTGTTTTCAATGTAGAATCGATTGAGGAATGTGAGCCCGATGTGAAAACCCGGCTCCGCCTCAATCTCCCAAATGCACTCCACATTGTTTTTGTACTGCTCCCTTAAGTCAATTAGACGATACGGATATGTTAATCGGCCTCCGCAACCGCTGCCGTATTTAACCGTTACATTGAAAGTGGCATTATGCTGGGCATTTGTTGTGGATGCCGCATGATACTCGAGGAATAGACCACGCTCCACAACCAGATTAATGACCGTCGCCTGGTTGCAATAAGGACCCAGAAGCGGTGAGTTCTGATTCGGACCGCTATACAGCTTCAAGTAATGGAGCTTACAGTCACCATCGAGATTCACCGCCACCGATACCTCCAATTGTATATCCTGTGGCGATAGAGGATCCTCGGCATCCGGATCGGGCCCAACAACCCAGGCACAATCCACCGTCACCCTCGCTGGCAAGTTACGTGGCTGTGTAATGGTGAGATTGTCACCTAGTTCCAGTGGCACAATGCCACCACAATGTTGCACGCTGTAGCTCAGCTCCAGCAGATTCATTCCGTTCTTTCGATCACCCGTCACGATCATCTCGACGGGGAAGGGCAGACGTACCGTGCGGTTCGTCTCAACTGAAGATGCAGCTGGCTCCACATCGCAAAAGAGCATCGGGAGCAAAGGCTCAGTCTCGTCAACCAGCAGAAGTTTGAGGGGCGCCAGAGCACCGCATATGTGAATATTGCTCATGAAGGTGCTGCTGGTATTGTAGCGTCGCACCTGCAACATCATCGTACTATTCGCAGGAGGACGCAGCTTATAGCTGCAGTGCACCATACTGGTATTGGAACGTTCAAAAAGCATCGAAGCTCTCACATCCATGCACTCGCTCTCACCGTATGCGCTGAAGCGCAGCTTGAAGCCGCGATGCGATGGCATCAGAAAGACATCAATGGCCATTGTGTTGTCCGTGGAGATGACTTCAGCGGGTGGATCATTCCCATATCGACCAATCACCGAGTACAGCTTGTGATCATTGGTGAATACGATGCGTCCGCGGAATCCGGAATGCGTACGATTGGCTAAGCTTCCGCCAACATCGAAGTCGAGTATTTCGACTTTGACGCGCCGACCCTTTGCCACCTGGATGCGCCAGATACAGTGCATCGGTTTTGTCACTTCCTTCGGATAGTTGGGCGTCTGCAGTCTACCCTGCTCCCCAAAGATCGTCTGTCCGCAGCCTGATCCGCGTGCCGTATATTTCAACTGGAAGGACTCCTCGGTGCCCAAATGGCCCGTGGGCATTCGGAGCCGCACCACAATCTTATTTGTCTCGACTTGTAGATTTCTATTATCGGTGCCACACAATTGGAGGCTATCGCTGATACGCTGCTCATTCTCATTGCCAAACGGTTCCATCTCCTCCAATTGAAGATGGGTGCGTCCCGAGCAGTTACCATTCTCTGGCATCGGTAAATGCATCCCGACGAACGTCAGATCGATGGTGCTGCCTCGTTCCGCCTCAATTGTGTAGATGCACTCCTTCAGCTTTGACGTTAGCAAATGCATGTCCAGCTGACTCGGGATGGGCGAACGAATGACACCATTGGCGCTGTAATAACTGCCGCCGCAGTCGGCTAATTTGATGCGCGCCTGAAAGCCCGGGCGCGATTCGAGGACGCCCGTATAGAACTTGATGCGCAGCTCACTGCCCGACGAGAACGCTGTGTCCGGCTTGCGGGCACCACAGAAGCGTCCAAGTTGCGGACTCAGCTCCGTGCTGCCGTCGTTTATCTGTACAAATTCCCGATCGCAGCCATCATCGCTTTCGTCGTTAGATTGGTTGCTCGGCTCACTACGACTCGGCGTAAGATCAAAGCTTAAAAATTCCACAGCAATGCGATGCTGGGGCGGTGCACTTATCCGCCAAACGCACTCCGAGTGCGGATTGGGCAGATTGGGAAAGTTGGGTGAGCTGATCAGCCGTGTGGTGTTATTGTATGATCCGTCATCGAGCAAAATATGACCGGAGCAGGCGTCACTAATCTCCTCGTAGTGGAAGGAGGCACGGAACCGGGAAAATGAGTTTCTCTGAAATTTTATGTACGCCCGATTCGAACTGGTCTCCAGCACATCAGTGATGTTGTTCTCACAGTACTTGCCATGCTGTAGGAATGGCGAATCCTCCGCATAACCATTGCGCACCACAAAGAAATTACGACACTGCGTCAAATCATTGCCCTGACCAGAAGCGCTCAGCTGGGACTCCGGGAACGTGATGCGTATCCGTTTGCCCTGCCGCACACGAATCGTCCAAACACACTCTACATTGTTGGACGCCAGCTGAGTGATGTTGACTAGGCCACGTGAAGCAGTCAGCTCGGAGCCACAAATGGTGCGCACCATACTGGAGAATCCCGTCTTGTTCACGCTGACATCTGTAACGAACTCTAGTCGCAGATATGGTTTGCCATGGTACAAACCCGACGTCACATTCGCCTGAGCGCAGATTTTCGCCAGCTCCGTCCAGTGTTGCATGTCACTGCTGCTGGAAATGACCACATAGTCGGCATAGCAAGCATCTGTAAATAGCTCCAGGTCAACGGTGATAAGGCGCAGAGCCGCATGCATTGCGGGACTAGCAGGCACCAAAATCCAACTGCAGTGCAAATTCGGGGCATAGCCCTGCGGATAGCCAGGAGAACTGAAATAGATCAAGCTGGAATTTAACGTCATCAACTGTTGGCCGCATTGTCGCGTCTGCAGCTCAGCGCTGCGATTAGAGGCCAAGGCCTCCTTTGACAGTCGCTCCCAGTTCAGTTGAAAGGGTCCACGAGTCGCAGTAATATACAGGATATTTGTGTTAGACACCAGCGGTTTGTAGGGCTGCGGCTCTAGTTGGCCGCCAATGTCCGTATAGCCGTCGTAGAAGCGCACATGCGGATGGTTTACATCCAGCAAATAAACCACATTCACCAGCACCACATAGTCCGTGTCGACGGTGATGCGCCAACTATACGGTTCGTTGCTCTCAAAGGTGCTTGGGTAATGTGGTGACTCGATCCTACCCCCAGTGCCATTCAGTTCGTTGTGGTACTCTGCAATTGAATATATATAACATATATATTAATTTTCAGCTTTAAGTTACAATCTGTACAGTTTTGCCAAGGGAACAACATTTCGGATTCGTGAAATAGATATTTTTAGGAAATGGGAATCTGGGAATGTCAATGTGTTCAGTAAATTTGATTCTGAACCGACCAAGATGAAGCCTTCCATGGATATAGGGATTGAAAGTATATATATAGCGAATAAAATTAAATAGTAACCGTAGTGGTAGTTGGCCAGGAAGCCCGCGCCGACATCATCGTTGCTGCTCTTGAATTTGATCCAAATGCTTCCCTTGGAGCTTATGGCCGCCGGCACTTCATTTCCGCAATATACGCCAATGAGTGAACCACGTTGAGATTGCTCGCGCAGCTCTAGATAGTCATTGTTGCAACCGTCGGATTGCTCCAGATCTAGCGATTCAACAATGAGCGCCAACGAGTTCCCAGCGCTCGCTTCGAGCACCCATTCGCATTCGATGTTCACTGGATAGCTGTCGGGATAGTTGGGGGAGGAGAAGCGACCCGACACTGCGTTGTATGTGCTGCCGCACGCCGTGTCCATGGTCATGTAGTGACCCTCGAATTCGGAAACCAGCAACATTGGCAAACTAATTGTCAGCGCCAGACCACGTGAAATTATTGCAGGCGGATGGGTTCGACAGAATTGCTGGCGCGGAGTACCGGTGGCCGTGATGCCCTCATATATCTTGATGCCGTTCGTCTTGCAATCAGTTTCACTCGAATATCTTGACAAGGGTTCCGCATGCAGCATGATATGGGTGGGTGTGAAAATTATGTGCTTGCTGGGATCGGTGGCTTGCAACACCCAGACGCAGGTCTCGTTGCGAGCCACCTGGCTACTCAAGCTCAAATTTTCAAAGTCTGTCTCATCGATGGACAGAGTCTGACCGCAAGACTCGCGGTATTGCAGCCGAAAGCCGCGATGCTGAATCGAATTATCAGTAACGAAGCGTACAATTGCTCGATTAGTGACCGATTTCCTGATTGCCAATTCCTGATCATTCCCGTGGCATAGCTTGAAGATCTGGTGACCCTCATTGTCGTCCAGGCTATCACTGGCGCTCATATCATATGCAGCCACATAGTCCCAGGAGCAACGAAAGCTCGGCTCAATGTCCACATCCTGCATATCGAAGATGATGGTATGGTGCGGCGCTACTTCTAAAAGCCATTCGCAATTGCTATTGCGCGGATAAGGCTTCGGATATTCTGGTGAGGTGATTGTGCCGCTCTTGCTGCTCACCTTGCCGCCACAAGCTGAAGTAAAGATTTCATTTATTTTACTACTATTTGAACTTAGTTTTTTGTTTACTTGTTTAACGGTATTAAGAAAATTCATCTTTAGAGCGATAAATGGTTAAAAAACTGATAACTTAATAATCATTTTTCTAAACATAAGCTGAATTTTGTTAACCCCGTCCTTAAACAAGTCAACCGGCTTATCAATCCAACATTATCGTTATGTCGTTTATCTAATCAATTTGATAATCAGAAAGTTATTCAGCATAGTTTTATATAGAACTGCATATAGAGTATCGACTTACAACTCTTCATGATGCGGTAGGAGGCCTCGAAACCGCGCCCGTTGTGCGAGACGTCGGTGATGAATCGCACATGCAGCTTGTGACCGGCGCTGGTGAGAATCAACTTGGGATTGCTTCCACAGTGGCGCTCATGAACACCGGCTTCTTGGAAGCTATTCGATATCTGTTATGGGGCGATGCCAAAAATTTGTTGCTGCTATATAGTAGAAATAGAGGGTATATACTGACCACTAAAGCGTCTTTGGTGCAATTGGCGCTATCTTCTATGTCCATGTCCAGCACGGTGAGCTCAATGACCTGACCGAACGGCGCGTGTATTAGCCAATAGCACTCAACATCATTGGGATACATGAGCGGATGCTTGGGCGAATGGAAGAATCCTCTATCGTCTTTCAACTCCTTGACGCATCCATCAACTCGATATTCAAGCCGAAAGCTAATGCTGCTCGTGTTGTGAATAATGGTCAAGGTGTCGCCGCTGACATTGTGCATACCCAGATGCACAATCGGCACCACAACGCCACCATCTAATAGATAGAGGCCACCATCAGCACCATCAGTGGGCAGCCGACTGGAGCGATGATCAAAGTGGGAGACCTCCAGTTTAATCTTATTGCCGCGCGGTGATTGCAGATGCCAGCTGCAGTTGATGGAGCTCGCAAAGAAGGCCTCACCATAGTTGAGACTCTCGATGACGCCTTGGATGCTGTTCAATTTGACCTGTTGGCAATCGGCACTATAGGAAATGCGAAATCCGCGCTCCGCATTGCTAAAGTCCGAGTGAAAGACTACAACCACCTCGTTACTGTCAATGTGAAGGTCACGTTTATCGTCATCAGGCATGGAACACAAGGTCTGGTATGTGAAATCCAAAAAGCGACTGCTGCTGTCACCATTGTAGATCCGTAGATAATCCATGTCACAGTAGTCATGTGTCCTCTCCATCTCCAGATCCTCAATGACCAGCCGTATACTGGAGCCGGTATGCACCCTCAAGTGCCACTCACAATGGGCATTGTGCGGATACGCGTTCGGATAGTTGGGCGATGTGATGACGCCAGCACTACCAGTCAAACGACCACCGCAGCCGCTGCCAAAAGTGCGCCACGCTAGCCGAAACCCGCGTGCAGTGCCCACGTCATCGGTGTGAAAGTGCAGATAGAGTTCATGCGTAAAGCTGGGTATCTGACGTGGTACGCTCGTGCCGCAGAAGCGGCCGATGAGCGCAGAGCGATTGCTGCCCCCGTTGCGCACTTCTAGCCAATCGCCATTGCAGTTGGGCGTCGCCGTCAACTCGAACAGATCAAGTTGCAGCTCCAGCTGGCCGCCATGTGTTGCACTCAGCTGCCAGATGCAATCCAACCCATTGGTATAGTTAAGTGGGTAACCTGGTGAGATGAGCCTGCCGGTGGAGCCGTGTATGTGACCGCCGCAGCTGTTGGGGTCCACGAAGCGATAGGAAAGCTCGAAGCCAGCTCCCGCATGGCTATAGTCCGACACGAACTTAATAGTCATAATGTGAACGTGAGCCGTCATATCCAGCGGCATCTGATCGCAGTAGCGTGCTAGTGGTGGCGCCTTGTTGTTGCCGACCACAATCGCATCCTCGTAGACCTCAACATAATCGTAGCTACACCCGGAGGAGTCCTCTAAATCAAAGCTGAGCCAGTGCAGCATTATCACCTTGCTGGGTGGTGCCACAATTACCCAATAACAGGTGAGATCATTTTGGTACTTTCCTTCCGCATCTCCCGGCAGTCGGATGTTTTGACCCTCCTTGGTATGAACGCCACCGCATTTATTGGCGCTAACCGGTACGGCACTATATTCGAAATGGAAGCCACGCCCTCGGCTTACCGATTGCATTTGCAGGTGAATCACCAGCATATTCGTTTGACTGATGTACTCATCATCGGGTAGCTTATTGCCACAGTAAGGTCCCAATATGGCCCGATTGAGACCGTCATTGATGATGAGACTGGTGCCACTCACGCAATCATCCGTAGCTGAGTTTTCCGGCTCGTCATTGTCCTCGTTCGATGATTTTATAGTGTCATCCAAAAGCTGAAAGTCCATACGCTTCAGTGCGATGACCGTATTCGGTGCGGTCAAAATCTTATACGTGCACACCCGCGCACTGCTCGTCTGATTCGGATAGCCCGGCGATTTGATCGCTCCGCTCTCCGCATCATACGTGTGGGAACAGTCCATGTGATAGCGCAGCTCAAAGCTATCGATAGTGGTTACCGGCAAGCTGGTCGTATAGAACTTGATGCGCACGTGATTGTAGAGTGAGTGAAAGCTCGGCGGTATTGAAATAGTTCCGCCACAATATTTCATCTGCAGCATATTGAAATCACCCTGGACATTGTCAGTGTTTACCACATCGTAGAGCTCCACACATGCATCTGATGCCAAGGAGAATGTGATAAAGTCAATACTAATCGATTCGCCCAACGCCAAACGTATCTCGTACTCGCAGGAGATGGGACCGGCGCTGAGCGCATAGATGGGCGAACGTATGGAAGCCTCCTTACTGGTGTAGACGCCACCGCAACCTGGCAATCGCTCCTCGGCGGAGTAGTGTAACTGGAATCCCAAATCACTGTCCGTTTCATCCGAATGGAAGCGTATCATAGCCTCATGTGTGGGTAGCAACAATGGCGCTGGATGCTCGCTACTGCAGAACTTGTGCAGCTCCCGATCCGAGATGGCATCCCTAATCTGCAAAGTGGTCAATCAATCAATCAATCAATCATTGCTCAATTAGATGCCAATACAAAGGCACTAACCACAACCAAACCCATACTCACCGAGACAAAATCAAAGTTGCAACTATCGTGCTTCTCCAGCTGCAGGCTGAAGAAGGTCAGTTTGATACGCTTACTGCTAGGCGCCACCAGATGCCACCGGCAGTCGCGATTGCGCGGATAATTGCCAGGTGAGCCCGGCGAGGCGATGGTGCCGTGCGTTTCAAATTTGACAAGGCCGCCACATGGTGGCGGTATCGATTGCCAGGTGAGATTGAAGCCTTCGTGCGCAGTCGAATTGTCGGAGCGGAACCACAGATAGAGCTTATTGCTGGAGGAAATTATGTTGCCGTGATTCGGCAGCGTATTGCCACAATAGCGCCCAATCAATCGCGATGCTGTCGAGCGTCCATCGTGTATCTGCAGCCAGTCGAAGCGACATTCCGTCGAGTCCTCCACGTAGAAGCTGTGGAATGTCACATTCAGCACCAGCGATTCATTAGTGCTTATCACCCAAACACATTGCGCATTGTGATCATATCTATTGCCCATCGGCGGATAGCCCAGTCGCCCACTCATCCCAGTCAGCAGCTCATTGCAACTGCTAAACCGCACATCGCACAGCCGACCCTGATACCCCGGCTGACACTGGCAAAGAAAGCCATCCGTTTCGGGTATCGGGATGCAGCGGCCATCGTTCTTGCAAGGCTTCGATGTGCACGGATTCGGCAGCGGATCGCAGAGTCGCCCATGAAAGCCACGCGGGCAATCGCATGTAAAATTCGAGGGACCGTTATCCATGCAAATGCCACCATTCTGCAATTAAACACAAAATGTAAATATTAAGTGAGAAATTTTACAATCTTGCGACAGTGCTATCTGAAAACTATCCAAAGTATTTAGACTTAATCCTACAATCAATCTGTAATTCAACAAAACTCAATTTGGTGATTCTAGCCAGTAAACTTAGGGAAATTGATTAGTGTATCTTGAAAACTAAATGTAACCATTAACTTGGTACTTTTTTAAAAATTTGCTTGATATTCGAGTGACAATTCCTTTGCTATTTATCTGAATATAACAGCACTGAAATATTAATCTGATAATAAATATTTGTTTTCCCAAATATAAGAAGCGTGTCTTAAAGCATTTATATATTTTGATGCAGATAAAGTACACTGTAAAAATGGTGACACCAATTGAAAATCGTTTGCAAAAGTTAAAAAATAGTAAGTGAAACGAACAGGATGGGTGTATCCAAGAAATACTGTCCAAGTTTGCCTTTCAAATTGCGGTAGGCCTTGTAAATTTTGGGGCTGGAGTGGCGGAAGTGGATGTGGCGGAAAAAAAATGGTTGGAAGAGTACCTTGGAAATTTGGTGACTCTAGCTTTCCAATTGTGCGGGATATGTGGAATTATCGATTTACACAAAGAGGTGTATCGATTTGGGGAGGCGAAGTGGGCGTGGCCATTTAATTTTGCATCCATTCATCTCTTATGGGAGTTATCAGTTTAAAAATCTGGTGACTCTAGCTACCACAATACAATATACTGTATGCCTAACGCTCTAGCTTATAAATTGTGGAGTGGGCGTGGCCATCCAATTTTGTATCCAACTCTTAGGGGAGTTATCAGTAGCATATTTTCAAAATTTGGTGACTACATTGTATTGTCTGCTTAGTGCTCTAGCTTACAAATTGTGGAAGATATGCGCATTTCAGATTTCTAGGTTCGAAGTTTCTGTGGTTACCAGCAACTTACCCTCCAAGTTTGGTCATAGATATGCGGACTTCTCGATTTACACTTTCCGATACAATTGTGGGCGCATGTCTGGGCGTTGCCATAAAAATTTGTTATCGGTGCTTAAAGGCGGATACAAGTTATATACCTACAAAATCTGGGTGAGCGCGGCATATGCCGATCTTTGAAGGAGATATGTATGTATGGAGATACGTGGCTTTATGGATTTGCGATTATCGATCTTTTCGAATTCTTAGCCATCTAGTGAACGTAGCACTATAAATTTTACACTTTGTCTGACCCGGACACAGACAAGTAGATGTTCCATGTTTCAAATCTCTATCTTCAAGGGTGTCCAATGAGTTTCGGATACGATACTATAAGTATAATGATAAGAATCCAGATGTAATGAGTCGCCGCCGCATCGACGAATTTGTGAAGCTACGCAAAGAGCAGCACTTTCACTAATGAATTGTCGCTATCTGGACTTTGACATCGATGAGGAGAACCAACTGCCCAACGCGTTAGATGCAAAGGAGATTGCCTTGGCCGCTTCAAGTCCATTAAAGCCAGAGGAGCAGAAATCCCACAAACAATTAATTAATATACAAATTGTAGGTGGAACAATTGATAGAATTGATCTCTAGTTTTTTCGATCAGTTTGTGCTTGAGGGTCCGAAGTGTATATCGTTGACTGAGGACGACGAGGCATACTACAAATTGTTAACAGTTGGAAAATGTGAATTATACACATTCTATTTAATCGGAAACCCTTTTGGAAAACCAGCTAAAATGAAAAGTCTCGTCGATACTGCGAAGGTGAAATACCTTGGGACACCAATTAAGAGTTAGACACACAAAAACATATTGCCGATCGCGTCGATTATCATGCCATCTCTTTCTTATACATCTGGCATATATATATGCATACAGAAATGCCTGCGGCTGCTGATACAAATAAGATCAATATAAGAATATATTTTCGACTATAACTTTGGTGTTTTCTATGCGATCTAGATGAAATTTGGGCAGTTGATCAATAATATGCATATTCATATTATGTATTAATTAGAAGAAGATTAATTAGAAGAGGATTTAGTCTTTAAAATTGTAGCATATATTGTTATCGGAACTTTAAATATATAGATAATCAAGAAACGGAGGCAGCTATCGATAAAATAAAGCAAACTTGATCTGCGCCTCGTATACGAGGACCTATATTTCAAATTTGATGTCTTATCGTCTCTGAGATCTTCGTGTTCATACAGATGGACGGGCGGACGGATAGACGGACATAGCTATATCGACTCGGCTGTTGTCCGATTATATAAACTTTAGGTGGTTGGAGATGTTTCCTTCTGCCTGTTACATACATTTGCAAAAAACCATTATGCCCTTATTACCCATTTTTAATGAGTTCATGGCATAGAAAATAATCGATCAGTCTGTTAAGCTTCAGTTTGGCAACTTACCAAACAGGGCATATCATTGCAGTTGGTGTTTGTGCCGTGCAGGCAACCATTATCGCCGTAGCCGCTGCCAACCATGCCGCGGGGGCAGCTACATATGATCGTATTGGAGATCTCGGAGCAGATCGCAGCTGGATGGCAAAGGGAGGCGCGCTGCATACAGCTGGTGAGACCAACAGCGCCGACTGGTGAGTCAATGTTGCTGGTGCGCTGACAAGTGCGTCCGTCGCCCGTCCAGCCGATGGGGCACTCGCCGCAATGGCTGGAGCCATAACTGTTGATGCATTCAACACGTGGTCTAAGGCTGCACCCACCGTTGTCCGTCTCGCACTCGTTGATATCCCGACAGCTGACGCCGTTGCCGGTTAGGCCGGGTGCACAGGGGGCACAGGTGAAGCTGCCCGGCAAATTGATGCATTTGGTGGAGCAAGGCGTGTGGGCGGTGGCGCTGCACTCATCCACATCCTCGGTGCAGGAGGGCGTCAGTCCATTGCTACGCCAGCCGTCATCACAAATGCAGTTATACCCAAGAGCATCACTACTTGACACACAGCTGCCATGGCCACATAGTTCCCAGGCGCTTGCCGACGCACAGTCCGCTTTTCGCTGGCTGCAGTGCATCCCATGCCAGCTGGGCGAGCACAGGCAGGCAAACGAGCCAAACTGATTCACGCACTGACCACCGTTTTGGCAGCCCAGATCAGTGCCATTGAACAGCGCACACTCGTTCACATCCTTTTCGCATGTTGTGCCCTGTTTGGATAAGAGAAAGACAGCAGCAGCTATTAGCAATTCACAAGCAAAACATTTGGAGACGCCCCGAATACGCCCCACCCTCCAACGACAGCAATGCTTACCACGAAGGAGGGACGACACTGACACCGATAGCCATTGTAGCTATTAACACAACTGCCGCCATTTTTGCATGGATTGCTCCGGCAGTTGTTCAGCTTCAATTTCGCCTTTAAATTCCGCAACTTCAAATCTACATTGGTTAAGCGACGCCGCAGGACTACGAGATATCGTGTACTGCAAAAATACAAGAATATAAGTGCTTAATTAATCACTTCATATGAATCAAGGTGCTTAATTAAGATAGAAGTTAATTACTCCTACTTTAATGACTTTATTATATAATCAGAACATTAACAATTGCTTCTGGTGTAAAGAATGCTGCTTACGCATTTTCCCACAGATAGAAGGAAGAAGGTATACGTATTTAAATATTTGTATATATTTTAAATGGCTCATCTCGATGCAATTGAATTTTTCGATTAAATTGAGAAGATTGGTTTTGAACTTTTTTATTAAGCAAGTCAAAAACATTCAGATCTTATCATCCCTCTTAAATTTTAAGTTCTAATTTAATTTTTAAATTCACTTTTAAGTGTTATAATAACATTAACAATAACATACCAATTAATAACTAAATGGATTATATAAAATGAACCATTTCAAATGGAAACCAGAAAATTCCAGAAATTGGTTTGTTATCAATTACTGATCTAGTTAAATCAGGCTATTCAATTTTCGATTTGAAGTAAGCTTGAAAAATATCAATAGATTGTATTGAAAAGTTTGTATGATATACTGATCGATTGTTCATGCTGATTTCTTCTGCCACTAAAATACATTCGCACATTGCTGAACCTTACATTTATAACATAATTCAAGTACATTCTCCCCAGCGAAAAATCGTAATTTCTCATCCATCAATCTATTGGTAAACTTACCGATTCGCAATTTGTAATAGGGTCCAATTGAGCCCATTGACCCCAAATGCCTGAGATTTGAAATCGACTAACTGATCGGCCAAACCTTGCAAATCCAAAAAATCGTCGGGACCACTCCACTCATCCTTGACATCGCCAGATAGTCGCTTCTTGCTACCACTGATGGGCATCAACAGCTGCAGAACATCGTATTCCTCATTTATGATCAAACGCGAGTTACCGCTCAGGCGGAAGCTGATGTTACGATTAGCACCAGACTCGAAAATCAAATTGCCATCCTTGCTGATAATCTTGGGTCTGCAAGCGAGTCAGCGGTTCAGTCAACAACAATATAATTTCGTTAAAGCAGCAATTGCTACTTACGAGTTTACAAAGCTGTGCACTGGACACAGTATGCCCAACAGAAGCAGAAAACGTCGTGTGCCACTCAACATACTGCTTCACACAATTCCATTTAATACACACGAAAAAACAAGAAGTATTTATATATCCTATAAAAAAAAAGGTAAGCCTAAGTCCTGTTGCACGTTCACTTGGCTTTGGTTTGGATCGAATTATGCCATTGTCAACGCTCACCGCTTGCGAAGTCAGCTGCGGGGCGTTTCTGCGCCGCGCTGCCACATGCGGCTTGGTTGACGCCCACCACTTTTTAATTTAGATAGCTTGTAGCTGAGTAAATAATACAACTATACGTTTGCTCTTTCGTTTTGGCTTCACATTTTAACATTTACTTGAGCAGATTTCTGTGCTCTCCGCTAATAATATCTGGTATAGTTGCACATTGCACATATATACGTATATATTTATGTAGATGGTTCATTGTTGTAAACGTTATACAAGGGCTTTACATAAAGGTTTCTGCTTATGTTTAGTTCAAATAATGGAACTGAATATTTAGTTGCACATCGCAAAACGTGCCAGTTCAACTACAACCCTTTTTATGCTCTTTCCCAATTGGTTTCTCTTCTTGGGATTATATACTTTAACATATATATTTATAGACAAAAACGGGACTCGATGTTTATACGAAAATACAATTTCGAGTAGATGTTCCAAAAATATTTAAAATATTTACTTTAGGGATCTACAAAGTGATCAGTTAATTGTATAAAATTTCAAGTACACATATTTCAAATATTTGTGTTTTAGCATAAAAAAATCCTAAAAATGTTGAAAAAAATGTTGTTAAGTAGTTTTGTCTTTGTCTTAACTAAATTAAAAAGCTTAGGAATATCTTGGAAAGAGCATAGAAGCATCGGTTTCTGTGCCGACGTTGGGGATTTTGATTATTTTTACAAATATTTCTCAAGATAATGAAGGATGTAAATGTATATAACTTGGTGTTTGTGTTACAACTGATGCTTGGTACTTGCCCTGTGCCTACAGATAAGTTTATGGATTGATTAAGTACATCTAGATGCTATTATAATTCGAGTGCTGAGGACGTGTCCAAAATTCTATTTGGTGTATAATTTTACAAATGCACAAGAAATATATATATATATATATATATATATATATATATATATATATATATATATATATATATATATGTGTGTGTACACATATGGCAAAATGTCCAGATAAAAAGTCACAATAATAAAAGGAACAGAATAAAAAGTCAATTTAAACTGAACATCAGTTACTAAACTGGTCCATTTTTTTTATACACAATAGACATATATAGACATAGTATTTCATATTTTGTATGAGGTTTTCACTCTTTTATAACATTATCATAAAAGTTATATTCACTGGCTAGCTGAACTAAGCAGGCTGAGAGCCTAGTATAATCTCACATAAGGTTAAAAAAAAAAACAAACTATTGCGGTAAGAATAGAATATGAGTTAACACTTGGTAACAGAATCATGTAACACTGTTGGTGTCAGTTGTTGTCGGATGCTTGTTTGCCGGATGTTTGCTACATAACTATACAGTGTATAATTTGTACATAAAATTAGAATCACAATAATGAAATGACGTGCATTAATGTACACATAAAGGTAAATGGTAAAGTGATGTGCAGACAGGTCGATTATCTAAGTCCGTTCATATACATATTTAGACGATTTAATACATTTTCATTGGACCTGCCTGAACAAGCTTTACAAATCTAATTACAATAGCCAACAAACACATACACAATAAATAAATTAATAATTAAAAAATACATAGTTTACATCAGAACTATTTGCTTAGGTTTAGCTTTGCCTTGCTTTGTGTTACGCTACACTTCACTTAACCTCCTTCACCATCGCCCTCACCATCACCATCACCATCACCCTCATGTTCTGTCTCTCTCTGTCTTTCTCCCTCTATCTCTCTCTGTGTGATGTTGTCTATTGCCGGTTGCCTCTTGCCCATGGCGCGGCTATTAATTAATGAAATATATAACCAGCTAATAAGTTTGTTGCAGCCTCCAAATGCATAGTTGTGGGTTATTCAATTTGCTATGACGGTTGCTTTCACAACGTTGCTTTTGTTCCGCCTTATGTGCTCCGATTTGTGATAGAGAAACTTATAGTTATGCTGCTTCTCCGAGTACTGGGCAAACATATCTGTGAAAAACGCAAAAAATCGTTAGTACAAATTCTTAAACTGAATAAAAGTTCAAGACTTACCGAAGGAGACGTGACCCACGTGGGCGGTGTCCAGCGCATAGAAAAGCGTTTGAGCCTTTTGCTCATTCAGCTTGCTTCCGGCATGCCGTAACAAACGTGTGAAACTATCCCTGTCAATCTGTTGCGTTGATTTACTATACAGCTGCAATACAGACAGAAGAGTGAAGTGGGATATGATAAAAAGAAAAGAAAAATCAATAGAAAAAAAAAACAAAAATCGGTTGGCCACTCACCTTGATTAGAGCGCGCAAAAACGTTATAATATCACTGTTCTTAAATTTGCAGAACAGCGAGCAGAGCAAAAAACTTTTCAGGCTCACTGTGCCCTTGCCACGCTAAGCAAATAATGAGGGAGATGCGAAATGGGTGTTATCATATCCAAAGAATATCAATATATTGATCGCATACTTACATGGTCAAGTAGCGCAAAGAGCTTGTGAAGATGAGTATTCGTAAGATCGATCTGCATGAGTTCGGCAAACGTAATGATATCCAGATTGTCTGTATTAGATAGAGATAGATATTTCTCGCACAGCTGCGTGTCGCGTTTGGATTCTAAGAGGTCAAGAGAATCGAGCGTATGCTCAATTTCCACAATGTCACCGGGAAAGGGAATTTTCATTTCGCGTGCACGACTCATAATTATGACATCCTCAAACGAATAGTCTGATGTGGGCACTTCCAGTGCGCTATAAAGACAAATCAGTGCTGTTATAGGCTTGGATGATACATGTAGTTATGCGACTCGTTGGCATAGAACTCACTTGGCCATTACTTTGCGCACATTGTTGGCATAGAGATTCGCGTCGGCCACCTCAGCTGGTGAGGGCGTGTAAACGGGTAGATATTCAATTTCGCAGCGGTTATAGAATTGTGTCATTGTAAGCCAAAGCAGACGTAGACTGTAAGAAACGCCAGACAAAATAAATGGATTAATATCAGAATGTTCGTCAATGTCAAAACAATATATGGCTGCAAAATTACAACATATATTCAACTTTTCACCTATCACTTATAAAAAGAAAGAAATCCGTCGCTTATAACTTAATGCATGTGCTGAATTGAAATACTTACACGCCAGGTCCATCCCAGGTCCATGTGAAGGTGTCAAACTTATTGGGATAGCGGAGTATCACTGGCTGCACAGGTACACCCGGATAGAAGGCGCCGGGCTTGAATTTGATCAGTGCAGTACGATTGGTGCAGGTGCCTTCGGCAAAGATGACCACCTGCGGCCAGTCTTCGGTAGAACGTGCACGTTCGCGAATATTGCGTATGGTGTTCTGCCTGGAGTTGGGATCCTCGCGCTGGACATATATGGGCTGTGCATAGTTAATAATTCGGCCGAGCAGGGGTATGTCCGCTGTCTCACGCTTGGCCACAATCGATGGCGGACTTCCGGAGACGACCAGAATGGAATCTACATATGAAGAGTGCGGTGCCACAACCAAAATGGGTGCTTCCTTGGGTGTAGCCGGTATACCCTTAAATTTGATAAAGTGAAACGATCCAGATACGTACAGCAGACGCATGGCACGTGCTGCAAAATACTGTACATTCCTATCAATAGAATTATATGATTAGTTAGTCAAGTTAACGGCTATGTATATTTATTTATATATGTATGTAAACTTACTTGCGCCAGCCAGACAGCGGCCTCGCTTGTATATCCTCCATAGACATGCCATACAGCCCAATATAGGCTAACATCCAGGCCGATAACAATGACAGGACGCAACCCACAACGCGTATGGGCAGGAGCAGCACCGTCAGCACATAGATCTGCAATGGGATATAACAGTGATTAGGGATTGGTGAATAGTGAAACGTGTGTTGTCAGCGAGATTGCAGTCGCGCCTAGTCAAGATTATCTGACGACGGTATTGTAAAACAAGACAAGGCGAGCAACGAAAATTTTTTTTTTGGACTTTGAAATGGCAAACGAAATAAGCAATTTGTTGAACTCATAAAATTAAATAGCACAGCGTCGTCTACAGCAATAAAGTGTGTTTTGAGAATTCAGGCATTATGATTAGCGACAGTGATTTCTTTATTTTGTACAGTATGTGAAGAAAGTGTTTGGATACAGGAAGAAATTTATATATTATCTAATTTCTGTTGGAAAAAATATGTATTTTATTTTGACTTTTATCTTGTTTCTTATTTTTTTACTATTAAGTGGGCATCCTAAAAACTATTTCTCAAACAACTGAAGATTCATTCATTTAAACATATGTGAAAAGTTAAAAAACCAAAGTTATAGCAAGAGTTTGGACAACCGCTGTTTACGATTTTATCAATTCGCTTTTCGACCGATTCCATTAGAACTGATTTTTATTACTTGCACTTTGTGTGTGACCTTGGTAAACATATTCTGTTGAAATTTGTCGGTAAAAGATCATTTTTGCATTTTAAAGTTACCTTAAGTAAAAAAAACAAGAGACACAATAAAAGCCAACAATAAAATATTGTATATTTCTAAATAAATGAGAAAATATGTATTTTTTCTGTATACAAAAGCAAATAAGAAATCCTCATACACCACATATGTGAAACATAGAGAATGTATTTAATAGATTTCTTATTAATAAATTTTCAAATGCAACTGAAACGATAGTCTTATTTAGTGTAAACTTCAGCTTTTTTATATTGTATATTCCGTAATAGTAAAAAAAAAATTTTTCTTGTTCGTGTGCATGAATTATAAATAAGCATGTCATTAACAGACCACCACTCGAAAATATACTTTATAATTTGCTCCTCGACCTTCATTCAGCGATCAAGGCAATATGAACAAGCTAAAACTAGTTTCAAATGACGTTGAGCTTAATTTACTGTGTCAACGTCTTTCTACATGTATGTTTGGAGCTGATTTTACTGAATCACAGCAGTCGTATTTGTAGACTAGGTAGCTCCCTTAGCGGTCATTATAGTATTTCCGATTTTATTTTGTACTTGTTCCGCGTGAATCAATAATAAATGTGGATGAGTCATTGATTGTGCAGATCTTGGTCAATGTTAATATATGTTAGTATATGATTTCGCCAAATTGACGTCATAATTTATAAGGCTCATGTAGCAAAATAAAAATATGTTTCGCATGCAAACAAATCTTTGATTTGGGTTACGGTTACATAGTTTAAAAGCTATGTATATCGTAAATGTAAATTTTTCAAATTGCGAAGCATCGTTACGATATCATGTGTTTAATATTCGATGATGGCACCATTAACTAATGAACCGCATCACAATCAGGTGATGACCTATGATGAATATGCCCCTATACCCGCAACCTTCTCTTCATTGGGTACTGCAACCTTAATGTTCACACAAACTACACTGGAAAACAAAACAAAACAAAAACAAACAATGCCACCTTTTTTGTTGTAGTAGTGATCAGATCAATACTTATCATCGCTACCAAATAAAATATATATATACCGCTACTATATATATATATACATATACAGCACAAGGTGCTCAAGAAAAATAATAAGAAAAAATCAAAAAGTAAAGACAACTAAAACTACATGGCAACAAAAGCGTCAAAGAACCGGCAACGAAATCAAGAGGAACAACAATAACAATACGAGGCAACAAGAAAATCATACGATTTTCGCTGCTTTCGTTTCTTAACAGCTACATACATGTATATATAAACATATATTTGTATAGCATATAGCGTTTTCGCTGACGTTGACAGCGGCATTGCAAAAACTATGACAAATAAACAGCACAAGTTAAGGAATATCGATAAGTTATCGACATCCTCCAGTTGATCAAGTGTATGTGAGTGTACATGTGTGTATTTATATATGTATATATATTTATATATGTATATATATATATATATATATATAAATATATATGTGTGCATACGTATATATAGGGCATTGTACTTGAAATGCCTGTGTTTGTGTGTCATCAAGTAACAACAACAACAATAATAACAAAAGCACTCAAGTCGTATGTTGTGCGGCGGTGCTTGAAGCTGCGGAAGCATGCAGCGGGAAAAATAAAACTTTGGCTCACCTTGGCCACTTCAATGTGATTGTCGATTTGTATGCGATGCACAAATGGATTGATATAGCTGTAGCCCTTGGACGCCCAGCTGTCCTCCTCGGAGTCACGCTTCGATAAGTTGACGCTGTTGTTGGCCAAAACGCTGACGCTGCTGCTACTTCTGCCCGAACTGTTTTCGTTGTTCTCATTGCTATCACTGTCCAGGCCATCGCCATCGTTCGATGCCCGTGCATCGTGTGGGGAGCGACGCCGTTTTATCGAGGATGTTGTCATTGCACAAGCTCACTGCACCCTCACTGCACACGGCACACACCTTATTCGATTTGGAAATATATTATTTTTTCAACTTTTCCTGGGGGCTTATATGTGTGGCGCAAAAACAAAAAAATAATAATAAAAACAACCAATTCCTCCCGCTCTTCCGTTGAGTTTTTGCGTAGCCAGCGCTGCTCAGTGCTGAGCAACAAACAATCTTAAAGTGCTAGTTAAGAAATATGTTATATCGATGGCAGACTGAGCGCCGATATATCGATAGTTTTGCTGTTGCCACATATCTGAAAACTGCTCATCTGTCTGGCAGCACTAATGGCGCTGCCACACTTGACTAGAATTTAAATTTGAAGTTCACAATGTGTGTGATGAAATGCTCATTTACTGAGGAGTTCCTCCAAGCGCTGATATATGCATTTTTTATCAGCGCGTGCGGCACATGTGGTCAGACGAGTAAAATACGTACACACATACTAATTATACTGATTGTGTACTTGGAATCTTGTTGTATTGCCAGTCAGACGGTTTTTACTTAATCATATGCTTGAGCCGTTAGTTCATGGCTCTGCTTAACCTTGCGACTAGGTCGTACCACATGTGCCACAAACGTGCTGTCAAAAATCAAAAATCATCTTTCCCATCTTATTTGTTGTCTAGCCAATACTAAGCTAAAATCTTGAATACAAATGCCTACATTGAAATGTAAATATGTAAGCCACGTATAAGTATAGACCAACCAGTTTCCGTTATACACACATTTCTCACTATACACATCTACATACATACATATGTATGTACATTTATATACATACATATATCGCATGTTAAACGAGTTTACTTTTCTTTTGGTGTTTTTTTGTTTGTAGTTCAATCGTCACACCATTTTTTGCAGAGCACTCTTCATGATTGCTGTCGTGTGATTGGTTTGTGTGTGGGACAAGGGTGGGGGAGGACTGACACAGCTGGTGGGGCTTGATAACAAAAGGAACAAAACTGTTATACGCACGCACACGCATGCATCTGACCTTGCCGAAGTTTAAAGCCTGCTGATGCAATCGCCGCTTAGGCCGATAATCAGACGGCCTCACAAATTAACGCACTGCCCGGCAAATATTTAGTTTTTTCCTTCTTTCTTTTTTTATTCGTCAAAACAATGAGTAATTTATTGCGTTACTCGCCATTATTGCCAGTGGCGAGTGCGAGTGGCGGAAATCGGCTGAACATTAAGCATAGTTATACTTTTTTTTTTAAGTGTATTGTATATTAATATTTTATTTTTTGTGACATTTGTAATAGATTGCTATATATTTGTATATCTGTATATGCATATAGAAAGAAATATATATGTACATATATATATGTACGTTTGTGTATTTGTTTTTTATTTGCTATTGATTTGTAGCCCGACAGTTTTTGCCTTAGCATATTTTTTGCACAGCTCTGCTCCGACTATGTGGGCGACAGCCACTGGCGGTCATCACGTGAAATAATTTCAAGTTGCCCAAAATACGCTGCATTTTTTTTGTTCATAATTAATGACTTATGTTTTGGGACCGAAGGCCTCTTTGATAATGTGCCAAATAGGCGTATACGCAACGCTCCTGCAAAATTGAAAATTTCCGTTAGCTGCGCGCCAAAATTGATAACACCTGGGACAGGCTGGCTGGACTTGTTTGTCCTTGTGCGCGTTTCACCAGACTCGGCGCTTTCGACGTCATCATCATTGACGTCACAATAGGCTCTGCGCGTGGCACACAAAAAAATATTAAAACTTACATTCACAAAAGAAAGAGAAGCGCACGATAAAAAATCAATTTTTTTGTATGTACACCACTCACACACATATATATATATATATATATATATATATTAAAGAACAGGCAGCGATGAGCAAGCGCAAAACAGCGCCACCAATTTCTACATACTTACAAACACATGCACAAACCGTGTGTGTGTGTGTGTATACAGCGGGGCGAGCCCCCAAATCTGGATTGCCAAATGCGGACAACAAAATACTTAACGCAGCAGCGAAGCCGACGGCGAGTGTTGAGAGCAGAGGTTGCAGCGTGCGGAAAGCTAACGCAAAACGTATCGAAATTCAACAAGGAAAATACGAATCTAATTTTAGGCGTGAACACTTCAAATTTTGGGTTCGGTCCGCTTGGCTTAGCCTTGTGCACCAGAAAGCAAAAATCAGCCAGACTCAGATTCTTTAGTTTGTTTGTGACAAAAATATATGTATGTAACACTACATTCATCTTCTCCTCGTCACCATTTCAGATATGCTGAGTCATTGCATAAGCGTCAGAGAGGGGAATGGGTGCTGCCTGACATGTGTGTAGTATTTAAGAGTAGTGATCAGAAAGTATGTGCATCTGTATGCAGCCATCATCCCCAAGATATAATTGTTTGACCTCAGTTGTCGCACGTATTTATGCATGGCTCGCCCAGCCCCCGCGTCAGGGCAATGACGCAGACGACGCCCACAAAAATATCGTTTTATTGCGTTTTCAATTTGTTTTTTTTTCTGAGCAATTTCCGTCGGCCAGATAAGAGAACAGCGCGCTATGCATTAGTTTTATTTATTTTTTGCTTTCATAGATAAACATTTGTATAATTTGGCTGGGTAACGTTAAACGTACGTGTGCGTGTATGTATGTGTGTAAACTGTGCTTAAGATGATAATTATTTGTAAATTAACATTTTGGAGAGTTGTTGACTTAACATGCATTTTTTCCTCCTCCATAAATATGTTACTTCTGTTGACATTTAGAATTGGTTGAAAACATGCAAATTTTAAGAAATACACGTGGCGATGCCAACGTTATTAAATATGTGTGTATGTATGTATGCACACATATGCATACAGTATATCAAGAAAGAGTTTGGACACAAGAAAAAATTCATATTTCTTTTACAAAAAAAGTATTTTATTATTGACTTTTTTTTCTTAATTTTCTACTATTAAGTGTACATTAGTATGCATACATACATGTATTGTGTGCAGGTTTCCTGTGTGTATGTGCGCTTGTGTGTGTTCATTTAACCGTAAACAGACGCATGCCAACGCCAGTCAACACAAATGACCTCCAAAGTGCTGCTCACATGATCACGGCGTCTCCGTTTCTCTATTGCTGTTGTTTCATTTGGCAAAACAGGCAGAGAGAGAGAGATGTGACGAAATAATAACCGCTGCTGCAATTGCAAACAAAAAAAAAAGGCCAATTGACAGACGTTTCTTTGGACAGTAATGAAACTGCAACAACAGCCAACAGTTGAGGTCTATGTAAATGCAAGATATGGCACATTCAGCTATCACTATCAAACAGCTAATAACACATAGTAATGTTTGCAGGGTAGGAAAGAAGCGTTTGGAGTTGCAAAGACAAACACACACACAGTCGGTCAAGCGATGCGTTTTTACTGTGCCGCACGTCGATGACGGCACGTAAAATACACTTACACATACGCTTATACTTATACATATTTATGTATATACATATACATGTGTCTGTACATGTGTATATGTTCACGCAAAGATTGGGAGTCCAACACCAACAAACAGAATTTGTGAGGCGAGCCCCACGAATGTGTCAGAAGACAGGACCATTAAAAACCAAAAAATTACATGCCGAGCGCTCATATACTCAAAGAGGAACACAAAGACGACAATTTGGTTGAATTTCGGCGACGGCGAACAGCTATGCAAACTTGTGCGCTTTATATGTATGTATGTACATGTGTTCTGAGAATAAACTGTTATACTGAAATTACCAACAGTCACAGATATATTCCAAGATATTGCAACAGCCTAGGGTGATACTTAAATGACCTGCATTATCCCCGACTGTCTCAATATCTCTTCTTAATTTGAAGCGAGGGCGAGGAGTGTGTACACATTTGAAACTATTTTTCAGCTCAAAATTTTAAAGTTGTCAAACGGTTTAATAAGCGCACAACCAGTTAGTGTGATGTTTTGCACAATGCTTCACATGCTGCTCAAGGTTTTCAATAAGCCGTTTGGTGTAGTGTGCAATAGTTTGCTGACGATGGCAAAATGGCTATAGCCACACTACATGCACACCTGACCGCTCTCTTTTCTCTGTCTCGCTCTTTCGCCCAGTGTAGTGTGCTGGTTTTGAGAGCTGTGGTGACGCTACTGCCTCTGCTCGCGTCGCTGCCCGTCCCTACATACAAATGCTATTCATGAGGCGCGCAATCAAAACATGTGCTCTCTTGCTTTCAATTTTCTTCTCTCTCTCGCTCTCTTTCGTTCTCTCATATATTCTGTTACGATATACACACCAATGTACAGAATATTGTATCTTGAACGCAGGCCCAGCAGCAACGAATTGTCAATTTTGACCTTCAAGGTTCCTTCAAAGTACGCTACGTACACGCTATACATTTACACACACGCATACATACATATATACATACACACACACACACACACACACACACACACACACACACACACACACACACACACACACACATATATATATATATATATATATATATATATATATATATATATATATATATATATATATATATATATATATATATGCAAGCGACGACGCACAGACGCTGGCATCGACGTCGACAGTGCCCGCTCAGCGTCGGCAGCGTCAGAGTAAAGCAACTGTCGAAGCTTCACGGAGAATAATTCCGTAACAAACGTTTCACAGCAGTGGACGCGTGCAGCGGACAAAAGTAAAAACGGCAAAGACAAAATTAAAAAATATATAAAGAAAATAGTAAAGTGATTCAGAAACAAGACAAAGTCAACTAAAAACGAATCAAATCCAACTATATGCAAAGGAAATCAAGGTAGAGACAATAAACACGCACACAAAAAAATTATTAAAAAAAACCAAACTAAGAAACAAAGAAAAAAATTTTGTTCAAAGAAAAACGCGAGTAAGACGCGCGTAAAACAGAATCTGCTGCAAATTAGATATTTTGTGTTTTTTTTTCTGTTGGCGGGTGAGGTGCCAGTGCCAGTGACTGCTTCTGTCTGTGTAACTGCCAAAACTAAAAGGAAACTGCAACGAAATGGACCAACAAGAGCAGCTGAATGGCGCGATGCGCAACGTATCTATAAATAGCAACGGACTAGCCACAACACTTAATGGTCACAACGGCTGCGACCAGACGGACAATGTGAGAGTTTTACGCGACAGCAGCAGCAGCGGCGGCAGCGGCGCAACGAGTAAAGCGACAAATGCAACAGCAGCAGTGACGACGACGACAGCAGCAGCAGCGATTGCAAATGCAATTCAAATACAAACATCAGCAGCTGGTGCGAGTGCAGCGGACAAAAAGAAAATGGTGTACGAGTTATGTCAGCAGCTGTTGCTAACGGATGAGCAGGTGCAGGAATTGTGCTATCGCATATTGCACGAGGTGCGTCGCGGCTTGGCTAAGGACACGCACCCCAAGGCGAATGTCAAGTGCTTTGTCACATATGTGCAAGATCTGCCCAATGGCAATGAGCGCGGCAAGTTCCTTGCCCTCGATTTGGGCGGCACCAATTTCCGCGTGCTTCTCATCCATCTGCAGGAGAACAATGATTTCCAAATGGAGTCGCGCATCTATGCAATACCACAGCACATTATGATCGGATCGGGACTGCAGCTATTCGATCATATCGCCGAATGTCTGTCCAATTTTATGGCCGAGCATAATGTGTATTCAGAGCGTTTGCCATTGGGATTCACGTTCTCGTTCCCGTTGCGCCAGCTGGGCCTGACCAAGGGTCTTTTGGAGACATGGACAAAGGGATTCGATTGTGCCGGCGTTGTCAACGAGGACGTTGTCCAGCTGCTCAAGGATGCGATCGCAAGGCGCGGCGACGTTCAGATCGATGTGTGTGCGATCCTTAACGATACGACGGGCACTTTAATGAGTTGCGCCTGGAAGAATCACAATTGCAAGATCGGTCTAATTGTCGGCACCGGCTCCAATGCCTGCTATGTGGAGCGCGTCGAGGAGGCCGAACTCTTCGATGGTAGCGAGAATGGCAAGCCGCACGTCCTCATCAATACGGAATGGGGTGCATTTGGCGATAATGGCGCACTCGATTTTGTACGCACGGAATTTGATAAGGATATCGATAGTCACAGCATTAATCCCGGCAAGCAGACATTCGAGAAGATGATCTCGGGCATGTATATGGGTGAGCTGGTCCGTCTCGTTCTCGCCAAGATGACACAGAATGGCATCCTATTCAATGGACAGGGATCCGAGGTGCTCTTCACCCGCGGCCTCTTCTTCACCAAATACGTGAGCGAAATTGAGGCCGATGAGCCCGGCAATTTCACCAATTGTCGCTTGGTGTTCGAGGAGCTGGGTCTGCCCAATGCCAGCGATGGCGATTGTGCCAACGTTCGCTACATCTGCGAGTGTGTCTCGAAGCGTGCCGCACATCTTGTCTCCGCTGGCATTGCCACGCTGATCAACAAAATGGATGAGCCGCATGTGACGGTAGGTGTCGATGGCAGCGTTTATCGCTTCCATCCCAAGTTCCACAATCTGATGGTGGAGAAGATAACGCAGCTGATCAAGCCGGGCATCTCTTTCGATCTGATGCTTTCCGAGGATGGATCGGGTCGTGGGGCGGCGCTGGTTGCTGCCGTCGCCTGCCGAGAGGATATACTCAATAGCAAGTAGAAAATGATTGGGGCTGCTACATTCAACAACACAGTTATCGTTATCGTAATTGAGTATCGGTATCGTAATTGGCATCGGCATCGGCGTCGCTGTTGTTGCCAAGTAAGCAAATCAATTAATTCGAAATCTAAATTGAGTTTCGAATGCAAATTCTTAAGGCGAAAATGAGTTAGTTTCCTTTTGTCGCCGCTGCGGTGGCGTGCACAGGCCGCCGCCAGATGGCGCGTCTTAGTGTTTAAATTAGACAAGTTTTTAGAAAAAAAGCAAAACAAACATGAATAATGGAGATTGTATGCTTCAGCAGCTGTTTATTATTATTATTATTACTATTATTAATTATGCTTTGCTTCATTTCGATTACAACTATATGTTATTTTGCTCTATCTTTCAATTAATTACATAAATTATTTGTATACTTAGTTTAATTGATAAACTTATCGATTCTCGATTTTTCAAAAACAAAATACAAATGTTATTATACTTTACGCAAACACACCCACCCACACACACACACACACACACACACACACACACACACACACACACACACACACACACACACACACATATATATATATATATATATATATATATATATGATTCTATATTTCAAGCAATTTCTTATTGGCAAACGAAATTTAAATACATTTTTCGATTGCAAATTGGTAACCATATATTTTAAGCTAAATGAGAAAAAACAAAAAAAATGAAATTTCGAAAATAGTAAAACATGCGCCGCCAAAAGTGTTATACTGTGCTACAAGCATCATCATATCCTTTCCCTGGACAAGACGAAAATTGAATCTAGTAAATCGCACATTGTTAACAAAACAACAAAAAATACTGAAAAAAAAATAAGAAAAAAACTAAAACTTAAACTTAAACACAAGGACACAGAAGCAAATGTGTTTTATAATTGTAAATGTTTATAGTATATTATATTGTGAAGCGTTATTTGATAATACAGCTTATTAGCCACTATATTGAATAATAATGTAATGTATTTTTGTTTCTTTGTTTAGTGCTTTTGTTACTAACGTTTAAGCAGCTAAACAATTGTTTTATATTGTTTTTATACATATATACATACATATGCATATACATACATATGTATATACATATACATACATATATACATATATATGTAAATACGTATACACACACACGTACACATATGCATATATATGCATAATGCATATGTGAGTTATTTGCTTAGTTTAGTGCTTAATTATTATGTAGTTTTAAATGTTATACAAGAGAAAAAACGGTCCCTGAAGACAGTCCTAAATATACAAGACAACCTTACATATAAAAAGAGCAAGAATCGCTAATAAAATATGAACACAATTGATAATTTTTCCTGCTAGCTGCAAGCGGATTTCATTGGTTTTTGATTTCAGTATTTTTTATTTTTCTACTTTTTTCGTTGGTGACTATTTTTTGTTTTGTTTGTTTTTTTTTTTTTCTTAGGCAATTGCGCGCAGGCGATTAAAGAATCAAATAATATAATCAACTTTTTTTGCCGATGTATTTTTAGAGAAGATAAAATCAACACGTTGTTGACAAAAAAAAAAACAATCATACCTAGTGGAATACCAAACAAAACTTTATATTTTTCACTAAAATGTAAAAAAAAATCATATGAAAACGAAACTTAGCCATGACAAATGAGTTATCAGAAAACAAGGATAAAAACGGCGTCAAGATAACGCAAAACTGAAGCTGAATGTTTATGTTAATCAACACAAATACATGCATACATAGACACGCATATGGACAGAGAAACTAACAGCTGACAGAATTTAGCAGACGAAAAACAAAACAAAAAGGAACAATTCTATATAAAAATGATTTCGAAACAAAACAAATAAAAACGATTAAAAAAAAACTGAGAAACAACAACCAAAAAAGGAAAACATTTGCAAAAGTTAAGGGTTATGATTGATAGGGGTGGGGGAGGGGGTGAGGTGCTTGTAACTGCCGGCAGAAGGAAGCAGCTGATACGGTCACGAGTCTTTCCTGAAACTGCGCACGAAGATCACATGATGTAACTGTCAATGATTATGTAAGTATTATTGTACTCGATTATTTCATCAAGTCGATATTCTACAGTCGGCGTTGCAATTGAAAGATTGTAGTAACAAGCAGAGACAATAACAATAGCGTAATTAATATATCTATATGCAATGTAAGTGGACAGCACTCGAGGGAGTGACCGACTTGGAGATATACTTGCAGATATCCTGCTCCGAACAATGCTAAATTAATTTAATATATGATTCAACTATAAAGTTTTTTTTATATTAAATTATCGTTTAATTGATTTCAGCTTTGAAGATTATTCACTTCGAAAATAAAAAGAAATCGGTCTTAAAATAAATTCTTGGTCCTCTTAGCAAAAGTGAATTTAAATATAAAAACACTTCGAATGGGTATTTTTAGAAATGCTGTAAAAAGTAATTTTTATTTCTTTGTAAATTAATAATATAACTAAATAAGTAAGTATATGTAATTATTTATGTACATACATATCGAATCAGTTCGTTGTCCTGACCAAGATTATATAGATAGATATAATTCATGGCGCCACACGCCAGTCAAAATGCATGATACCCTTTGAATAAATTTATAAATGGGTATACTGTGTATAATTAACACCAGGCAACTGCAATAGTTGTAGCTTCTGACTGCCTCTTCAGAGTGTGAGTCAATTTTGTGGTCCCAAGTTCCGCAAAAGTTGTTTTTAGAATTGACGGTCACATGTAAATTCCCCTGACCCAGAGTGACAAGCTTCTTGATTGTGTTGTTATATATTAATTCCAAAGAACGAGTATAATATGTATGTACATATATGTATGTATATATATATAGAAGTAGAATGCGCAGATCACGTTTCTCAAAGACAGGCGAATCATTTAAATATCAAAGCAATAAACATTGAAATGCAAAACGACTTCAATTTGGATGTCGATAAACATCTATGAGTAGTTTTACTGGTGATCCGTTGCACTTTGTGGGCTTTTATTTCTTCATGTGTCTGGGTGTGTATGTGTGTGGAGGCGGGTGTAGACTGGAGAATACTCCACACAAAGCCGCTCAGTGGCAATTAAATAAACCGCAACCAGATTGACAGGCATGTTAGATAGAAAGATAGATAGTCGAGTCGTTTTTGCATGATTGTTGTGGATTAAGTAAAACTTAACTTGAAGTACGATACGTGGCGTATACTTGATATTGATCTAAACAAAATCTTGGCAATGACTTGGGGAATTTCTTAAAAAAAACCCAGTCTGCTTTAAAAAGTCTTATCAGCCATTTTAAGTGTAAACGTCTGTACTCATTTAGATATGCGTATTTGTGAACTCTAAGCTTTTACATACCCTGTACAAAACTAATATTCTTGAGAAAGACCAAAGAAAGTAAGAAATTCGCCAAAAATCTTAAGGCAGGAATGTAAATAATAAAATTAATTAATTGAATGTAAAAAAAATTGTTTTTAACTAAAGATTTGGAATGTTGAATATTTTTTGGTTTATATTAGTATACTTTAAATAATTCAAACAAAATAACTTCATATTGGTATTTATTTGCTTCAAAGTTCCACTATTTTTCTCTCTACATCTCCCTTCCTCCCTCTTTTCACTTCTCTGTGTCTCCTTATAAATTGTTTTTTCCTTTGAGTATACCCTTCAGTCGAGTATGGGGTATATAGCCCTAATAAAGTGAATATATTCCCTCATATGTTCGCATTTGCGTAGCTTTAAAATCAGCCACTTAGTAACATCTACATACAAATGTATATAAATGGACTGCATGTCTGAATGTGTGTACATATGTGTCTGCATATATATGTATGTACATATATACATATCTGTAATCCATCTAAATATATATGTACACCTTTGTATATATGTGTATAATCCTTGCTCGGACGCATACGTCAGTAGACCGGACGGGCGTAGAAACTATTTATCAGCAAATACTTTGACATTTTGGTATTTTGTTGTGTGGCGATCTTGAGTTAATTTTGCGGCAATTTAGCAAATATGCTTTGTGCTTGCTTCGCACTTTGTTTTTGCTCGGCACATAAAATGAAAGAAAATGTGTAAAAATAAATATCTAAATTTAAAGAACAGTATTGTTAGGATTGTCGATCATTTTTTTGTAGTAAGCATTAAATGAAAACAAAATACGCATTTGAAATTCGCTAGCGAAGAACGGAGAGCAGCAGCAGCAGGAGAAAAGAGGGAGAGAGAGAAATAGAGAATTGAAGAACGACAGACGTTTTTGTGGCTATTTACAAATACACTATAATCAACAAATAGTAGAAGCCTAAGTAAAGGGTATGTTTACTGGCTGATGATGCTTATGACATTTTCGCCAAATCTTGTTTAGTTTGATATATTTTGATATCTGATTGGATGTTATGGTTCGCAGACCTCCACGTTGCTCATTAATAATGTAATATTATATTTGTTAATATTTAAAGAAAAGGCCGACACATATACAATATTTTATTATGAGATATTTTTATTTGATTTTAGTTGGAACTCTAACAGACTGCGACATTGGCATTTGCACTGGTCTCTTCCTGCGTCATAGCAGGCTTTATTCTCTAAACCTCTATCTCACACTCTCTTTATTTATCTCTCTCTCTTTCACTGCCGTTCTTTCGCTCTCTGTGTATCTTCATGTTCGTTCTGGTTATGCAAATGCTAAATGCAGTTTTTGAAAGTGTGCAAACGTAAACTAATCATGTGTTGTTGTTACTACATCAATTGGAATCTCAACAATCGCTGGAGCTCATTTTACCAGCGCAATAATGTTGTCGGTTTTGTTGGCACTCGTTGGTTGCAGCCAACGCGAATTAAGATTCCATTTGATGTAGTAGCAACCACATCTAGCCAAAACTAATTGCTATGTATGTATGTACATGGGTGTGCAACTGAAAACGTGTATTTAATGCAACAAGTGCATATATATATTTTGAGTGTTTCCTTATCCGCCTGTTGCACTCACACATAAATATCGCAGCGGTGGGGACGTAATGCGGCAAGTAACTCAAATGACAAATTGGACTCCAATTTAGAAATCAATGTGTGTATAAATATATACTGTGTTTATATAAACAAACATTTATGTAAATATTAAATTTTGGAAAAAAAAATAATATACATTTTTATATTACAGAAAATATATAAAAATAAATCAATTAGTGGTCGCCTTTTCCATTACTTTTGCAAATAGTTACATTGAAATTGTTAAAGTGCACAAAAATATTGGGAACTGGTAATCCTATTTTTTCATATCTATAAATACGTGCTAATAAAGAGATTGGAATGTGCAATTGGAAATATAAGTACCTAATTTAGCTTGAGTAATTGATAACACATCTTATCTCAAATTTCCAGTAGCGCTAGGCACAAATGCTGCAAAATGTTTGTATTGTTTTGTGTGTATGCAATGCAAATCTATCTGCTTTCAGCATTT